CTTCACGCGAACGGCTGGAGCATGTTATCGGTCCTGCGCTTAACTTCCTGGATACGTCAGATCCGCGAGTAAGAAGACGCCTGATTGCCCGCCCGACCTCTCCGTTGCCGTTTGAACATGGGGTGTATATGCCTGAGCCACGTCGCAGTTCAAGAGCTGAAAGACGTCGAATCAACGAAAACGACCTCATTCATCGCGAATACATTCGTCATTTGAGAAACAAAAGATCGCAATACCAAGACTTCGAGCTTAGCGATGTGATACCGATGCAAGAACCAGATATTCCCGAAATCGTCGCGTCGCACCAAGACCCTTGGATTCCAGATGATTTCAGACTACCCGCCGCCGTCGAGGAAGAAGAACAATCATCTTCAGATGAACATACTTTCGTGTTAGTAGATCGCAGTCGTGATTCTTCCTGGGAAGTTGTATCTGATGCGGAAGAGCGAGAGTGGCAGCATGTTAAGCCTCATCTACGTAGTGGTGGGGGCGACGAGCCGGTAGCGCTCAGACCGGTTCGTGTTCGCATGACTGGGGAAGAACTTCGCGAGCATATTCGCAAGAATCGCGCTGAGACGTTGGCGATGCTGGAGTATTACAGTAAAGCTTCGGTAAGGGCGCGCGAGAGGGATGATCGAACTCGCCGGTAGACGGGCCGTGATGATGATCAGGAGGTTGTTAGTGGGGTGGCGACCTGTCTCATCGCATACTGAATAAGCGCAGGAAGCGACAGTAATTGATTGTTACCCAGCGTTTCTAGGCAGCTTGTTTTTGAGATTCAGCATTGCAGTGAATGGTTTTGAGATTCCACTTGCTTAATCGGAAGTACTACGGTGATATTCTCTTGGGTGCTGCGAGTCTGTGGCACAGTACATAGTATGCGCTGCACCTCAGGATCCTTATAAGTATCGATACGCAAGCAAACTATAGAACCTATAGTGCTGGAAACTGCTTCGCGCCGTGCTGTGCAAGAGCTTCTCCCGTACTGCGTTCCCGTTTTGGCAAAACACCGACGACAACATGCCTTCTTCGTCACGCCCCGCCCCACTTGACGTCATAGGTACCTTGCCTCCTCCGCACCCATCTTTGCACAACGGGCGGTGTCTCATCTGCCATTCTTTCGGATATTTACACGTTTACTACGTCAAATCTGAACACCCTTGGGACGCGGTCGTTGAATCAGCACAAACATGTCCTTATTGCGACGCAATCGTCAGAGGCTGCCGTGGCTGGCTGGATGAAGATGGCAAACATGACTGGACCCCAAAGAGCCTGCACTTGCGCTTTAGGGATGACAAATTGTACAAACAAATCCTGGAACCATACAAGGGTGGCGATGTGCCCTACAGATACGATGATTCTGACCAGGAAACGACGTCCATAGCAATGCCCGCTGAACGAAGCATCGAGATGGTTTTTGCGTCAAAGTACTTATATATAAGGATCTTTGCTCCCGATTGTTCGTAGGTTCTATATGTTGATGCCTACGGAGGACTAACTATTTCAGCAATACCAAACGCCATTTATTGGAGCCGCTTCGGTGCCTTGCGCCGCACGACTGGCTTCACTGGGTCGGCTGCTGCGTTTCAGAAAGCGAGAACATTGCTGCAAAACTGTATCCAAAACTATACAGCCTGTAGTAGTGATAAAGACCAGCATCTACCAACCCGGCTGCTTGATCTAGGTTCGCATGACGCCGACCTCGTTCAACTGGTTGAAACCGCTGGCGAAAATGGAAAGTACGCCGCTCTTAGTCATTGTTGGGGTGCTATTGCACAGTTCACAACTACGAGGGCCACAATTCTTGAAAGAAAAAAGATGATTCGTCTCGGGCAGTTGACGAAAACATTTCGAGAAGCTGTTCAAGTAACTCGGGCGTTGAACATTCGGTATCTTTGGGTAAGACCCTCGTTCATGATTAATGTTTCTGGATTCACCAGCTGCGTATACTGACATTACAGATTGATTCCCTTTGCATAGTGCAAGACGATTATGATGATTGGGCACAAGAAGCATCTCGCATGTCGACTGTATATCACAACGCGCTGATTACTAACTCAGCAACGTCTTCGAACTCGGGTGAAGAAGGTCTGTTCAGAAAATGGCCCGATCACGAGATCCGCATCCGTTCGGGAGACGAGAAAGCGAGCACCTTCATCTTCAGTGACCATCGACAACATTTCACCGGACAACTGCAGCCGGATGAACGTACAAAGCCATATCCCCTCCTGAATCGGGCTTGGGCTTATCAAGAACGCCTACTGTCTCCCCGTGTTCTACATTTCGGAGATAGCAAGCTAATTTTTGAGTGCATGGAAAAGCTTCGATGCGAGTGTCGTGACGACCGAACTGCGAGTACGCAGATCATCTGGACAAAATTTATCAAGGAACCGAAATTATATCTGCTTTCGAGGACATTACTTCGCCAAACCGCAGGAGAAATATGGAAGAGTATGCTCAGGCAACACAGTTGGCTGCAATTGACCTATCCAAGTGATAAACTGGTGACTTTGGCAGGACTCGCAAAGCAACTCGCGGAGCCTGGCGACCAGTACCTGGCAGGACTCTGGAAAAGTCGGATTCTTGAAGACCTCACATGGCAACGTGCAACACACTTTGACGTGCATCCAAGACCGGAATGGAGAGCGCCTTCATGGTCCTGGGCTTCTATAGAGGCTCCGCTCGCTCCCGCCGGCGACTTTTCTAGAATCGAGACACCAATGCGGCATGCGGTATCAGCCCAATTGATCGACTACAAGATAGTTCCAAAGACTGCAGACGAGTACGGCGAGCTTCGGTCAGGCACAATCCGCTTACTCGCTCATTGTGCGTCAGTTACATGGGTAGAAGAGTCCGGGGAATGCGAGTGCGGTAGGACGGAATACAACGTCGTCTTCCCTAATGGCCAAGAGAGGCGGGTTAAGACCGATGCCATAGACGAAATCACGTCAATTCATAGTACAGAAGCTGTACCTGTAGAGACAGTATGCGTCTTGATTTCTGAACACCAAGATCGGCGTACCTCACTTGTCCTTCGGCGATTAAAGTCAGAAAAAGAGGACTTCCAGCGTGTGGGAATCACGGGCGAAATTGGCATTGAGGATCCTATGGAGGATGTATGGAATCTCTTCCCACGAGAAAAGCGCATAGTGACAATAGTGTAGCTATGTACATCTTCATGTGGACGTCGAACTGCTTCTAGCTACATTCTCCTCGATATCATTGTGGCTGCTATGCTGCTCGAGTCAGGAATAGAATAGGACCCCGTCACTGCTCATCGATCCACTGGACCTCGGCGTTGCAGGAAACATGTGGAATACCCATGTATTTCAACACCATTTTAGATGAGAGGAACGGTGAAAGAGTTAATTTTACATGTGAAAAGTCTGTCTACGCGCGTTTGCGCCGTATCTGCTTCCGGTCACGGTGATAGTGAGCAGGGCCCCGATCTTCGTCTCGTAGGTGTGAAAGATGCTCGCGTATCAGCACACGTGGTGAAAACCAAACCGTTGACACTGTACTCACATGATACATCAGCTGGCGGAGCTCGTCACCCTGCTGGCTAGCGTCAAGTACCTTCTCTTCACCTGTTCTTCCTACGCATTCTTTCTCATTACTACGTACAGCAGAGCAACATCGCTCAACCAAGCTTACAACAACCCTATACCAACAACACACACGAATACCAAAATGAACACGCCTCGCCAACCACCTGCTCAGCCACAAGCCCCCGGCCTGATAACATCATCCCCTCACACTCTCCAAACCTTCGACCTAACCGCACCCATCCTGCGCTTCGACTTCCCCACGCCCGCCGCCCAAGCCACCTTCCACCGCGCCTTTCTGCAAGTGCGCAACGAAAAAGACAAAGCAGCTTTCATGCAGCGTTTCTTCGATAGTTATGACGGCCGAGTATCTATTCCACGAAGGGTTATCATGGATACAAGTCAAGATGAGGAAGTTGCGAGGAGGCTACAGGAAAGTCTGCCAGTGGAGCTAGATACAGGGAGGGATGAGCATATGGCGAGACAGCTGCAGGGGCAGATGGAGCAAATGGGAATGGGCGGATTTGGAGGAGCTGGCGGAGGTTCGGCTAATCGAGGACACGGTCAGATGAATGAACGAAACGACAGCACAAACGGTAGAAGATATGGTGAAGGAAGCAGAGGCGTGGTCGTACACGATGAAGATGAAGCGTACTGCGCAAGAAGACGAATCGAGCGTCAGAGGGAGATGCAAGAATGGGCAACCGCGGCGCAAGGATGGACGAACGCGGCTGACGGAGCCTACGTTGACACTATGGAAAGGTTAAGACACCAGTTTAGACGGGCGGGCCTTCAAGATCCTGGTGCGTATCGTGGACAACCTGGATATAGCAACGCGCCTCCTCGACGAAATCCTCGACTACCGTCTCGCCGCTCGGAGAACCAAGGAAATGAGTTCGAGGACTATCATGGTAATGGTGGGCAGGGCTCTTCAAGATATGGTCAAGGTAATGGAGGGTATGGTTACGGCTATGACCCGCGCCGGGATCACTGGGGTCATCGAGGTGGAGGTTATTAGATGAACGGGTGGTGATAGTGGTTCTTGGGTTTGGGCTCAGCAGATCGTTGTAGAAGTCTGCAGCAAGCAATCAAGAGATGAAATTGCGGGAGTACCTCCAGTTCTGTCCCAGTGAAAGTGAAACTACTTCTGACTCGAAGTATATCTACCAGACAACGACGATAGTGCTAACGCAGACACCGCCTCCAATCATCCATTGATGCAGGCCGGTAAATTACCCGCTCGTCAGCCTCGTACGTTAGCGCACGCCCTCGAAAAGGCTCTGGTGAAGCCGACGCTTCTCTTGGTTGCTTTCCCTTCTCCGCCCTGGGCGTGTCATCGTCTGGGGGCGTGATAGGCTCTTCGTTCGGTGGCGTGGAAGGGCTGTCTTTCGGGGGCGAGGAGGGCTCCTCGTTCATCAAGATGATACCCTCGCACAACATGCCGACATACTCTGTCTAAGTGTTATGCGTCATTGGCCGCTTGTGTACCTTCCTGACCTTCTGGATGTTGTATCCATTGGCACAGTGATCAAGGAGGTGGTCGAGAGGCATTCCGTCGTCGGAGAAGAGCTCGCCAAGTCTGCCCCGAAAGTCATCGCGGTCGATGGGGTCGTTGTGGATGACGTCGTCTGGTAGACGTTTGCTCAAGATGTGCAGAACAAGGGAGCAAAAGCAGCGATTGGCGGCGTGACCCTGGTAGTCGGACGATTGTATCCATTCGACAAGTTCTGGAACAAAGATCATACGAAGATCCTCTTCGTTGGACATACTCCACGGGATTGGGTGTCGGCCAATGTGCAAAGGCGCCAGATCTTTGGGTCCCGCCTCGTAACGTTTCTTCATGAACCTTTTTGTCAGAATCAACCTTAGCCTCTTCGGATGTATTGCGTTTGGATCGATCGTGGGTGAGTCAACCGTCGTTGGTCCGTCGGCGAGCTCTGGTGATGGAGGTCCTTGCGGCGAGTCGCGTCGTATAGGCTCTTTGGGCGTCGCTTCCTTCTGTGTGTCCGGGAACATATCATGCGCGAACCCCACCTAGACGCCCGGCAATCTCCTCGCATTATCTTTCGAAAAGCCTATGGGGCAGGAAAACGACCGCGGCCTGAGAATCGGCATGGGCGGAGCCTTGTATGCGGAAGTATCCATAGCGATCGTATCTGGACTTTGGCGATGTGAAGGTGAGGATATGAAGATAGTGCAATAACGATGTGGTGGTGTGCTGAAGTGTAACCGTGAGTGGAGTGAAAGTGATGTTTGGGTCAGCAAGGTGCGCGACTGCTCTGACCACGTCGATGTTCTTCCGCCCTTTCCATCTTGTGTACCTCCCCTACTCTTTCCTGAACCTACACCAGAAGGTGCAGTGCCCGATTGAAACCATTTCACAAGCGACGATTAGAGTTTCTACAGCCTCGTACTAGCAGCCCGTCCTTGTTGTCACCGCGCATATCTGTTGGTAGGCCTTTGTACGATCGTACGAGATGGTAAAAATAACTGAGTTCTTGTAGGTTGGTGTATATTACTATGAACGCAGGCGCTACCAAGGTATACCCAAGCTCGGCATGCGCCGGGCCGAGGTAGGATCGAGGCGGTACTTGAACATCAGTGGGAGACATCGTGTGTGCATGCCAACCCCAAATCCTCCTTGGACGATCTTTACAGCTCTCTGCAATAGCAGAAACAAGCATCTGGATCCTTCCTTTAATTGAAATAAGCATCTGCCTCTCTGAATTCTGCGACATGATACGTACAACTGCACTCTGTAAACCTGAACCGCGGTTGCACCAGGGAAGCAAGTGTCTGCACAGCCTTTGTTTTGGCCTATAGAAGGTTGTAATTCGTTAGTAAGTGACCAGGAACAGAAATGCGGGTACAAAAGAATGCTTACATGCTCGGTTGTCTGCAGTAGAGCAGCTCCATTCATCTTTTGGGATCGCGTCTCCACCTTTCAGGCACCAGTACCTTATATCGGCAGCGACTAGTGAGCTGAATAGCATTGCGGTAACGATAGAAAACTTCATAGTGAATAATCTTAGGGTGTTTAGGGGTTTGTGATAGAGTGAATGTAGGCTGCTGAGTAAAGTGATTCTCTGAGGCGGTCGGTGGGTAGCTTTTGTATGCCACGAGCAAGCCACAGTCTCCCGTCTCACGCGTGGTACGCTATACCATTCCAAGGAACTGCTCAGATAGAGTTTGAAATTCATATTTGGCCGGGTATCTCCTGGTAAGGTTTGTTAAATTTGGTGCTTACATTCAAGGGCATGAATTGTGTGCATCTTACTACATACCACCTGCATAAAATTGGTATAGCGCGCTACGGCTGTAATGCTGCATAATGCATGACCTAACTACTTTGGATGATTCGGCACGCTGTAGACTTCGGCCCGTTCTCACCTCTTCTACCAAAAGTCTAGACTATGATTCGGAGTTTGGTCCGTTCAAACAGCTCTGGAGTCCATGGAGCTCTGTCTTCGTGCACGATGTCTGAAATCAGGAAAGCTACCGCTCAGCATAGAAGGTAGTCATTGTATGGACAGAGCAAGAAACCGTGCCTAACTATTGACAGGAAAAGCCACACTGGCAGCTTTTGCTATTCAAGAGTTATCTCAAACAATATACTTGGAGTCGCTACACCGCCAGAACCGGCTCGTACCGGCTCGTACATCTGATACAGAATACGGCGTCTGGTGTGAGTAGCATCTCCGCCTATCGTTCGACTGTCTTAGTGATGCCTCGGTCTTTCCGTAGCAAGGATGGCAATGTTGTGGCGGCTGACAAGGACGGCACTCTCATACCAGAAACGGTCCGCGACGATCTGTTGACCCCTAATTCTCTCATGTAGATATTCGTCTTCGCTGTGTCTAAGAGTCGAGATCATGCCAAGATTCTTTGTATACAATAAGCGGTGTGATCAGGTCTTTCTCCTCGCAATACATCCTCCATCGATGCGTTGATGAAGTAGCGATCGTCGTAAGTAGCACGCACCTTCCTAGCACATTAGCCATGATCAAGCCGCGCGATGTACGCTTTGACCATCATTGTTGTCCAGTCTGGTTCAAGGTGTGGAAAGAGCGACATCGAGCAAGGGCAGCTGCGGGTGATCAGAACCTCGGGACGCGCAGGCGCCATTGTACATATCGCAGGAACTCCGCAGCCATGACAGGTACACACAGTCAGATATAACAGTTCGTCAAAATTCGTATTCGTACAATGGTATCACTCTTCAAAGCCCATCCACTCGCCTATATCCTCGCCTTCATCACTGTCAACCATCTCTTCATCCGATATCCCATTCTCTATCGCTTTGACCCCAAAGTCGAGTTGGGCTGACTTCTCTTTCTCCTCTGGCGGCTGCGCAAGCAGATATTCGATGCGATAGATGTTCTCATCGGCCAATCTTGCGAGCTCAGCCTGTATCCGGCGAACGGCTTTCTCAACGCTTCTCAACTCAGCCTCAAGTCCGCCCTTGTTGTCCTTCATCCATCGACCGTGCTTGCTGAGCAGTGCCTCAATCCAAACTAGATTGAACTCCAGATGCGGGGACTCGTCGGCTTGTAAGGCGACGAATCGTAGTAACCGACCGAGATACACTGATGGTAGGTCCTTGACTACTAAAGCGACGTTGCTCACGGGCGTGGCTTCGTATACGCGGCGAACAAGATTGCGCTCGTTTAGACGGAAAGCCATGACCAGTGCCTTGAGGTAGTCTTTCTGTGCGAGAGTCTCGAGAGTTGTCGCTGGTGTGACGGTGATGTCTAGGTCGAAGGGATCAAATTGGAACGTGTTGTCAAGTGAGTAAATCAGTAGACCTTCTGTTGAAGCGGCACAAAACGCTCGGCCAGTTGGCGAAAACGCGACAGCAGGTACGCGTACTTCCGGTCGTGTTTTCCGTGCGCCAATGCCCTTTTGCGCACCAGGTAATGCTGTGTCACGCCGATCTTCCAGATCGGACGCTTCGCCTTGGTCGTCGATGAGACCTTGCGGCCCGGCATCCGTGAGCAGCTTGCTGTTGAGGAACTCTTGTGTGCCATCGAGAGATAGGTTCACGGACACAGTGAACTTCTTGAGCAACACACCAGACTGAACATCGTATAGACAGATGTACTTAGAGTTACCGCCTGCCAATACACACGTGCCGTCTGCGCTGTACTTCACCGACGTAAAGGCTTTGGTGCCTGCTACGTTGGCTGCAGTGCGCCGATCTGACATCTTACGACCACCGGAAACGTCCCTTCGCGCATCCAGGCCATTTTCTTGTGCAGCATCGGATACGTTCCAGAACGTCAGTTGTCCATCAAGAGTTGTGACGGCTATTTGCTTCGAATCGGGGCGGAATGCGACAGATAGGATGTCGGCCATTAGTTGTAGCGGCTCGCTTGTTTGGGTACGAGCAAAGATGTTCCAGACGCGAACAGTCCTGTCCCAACTTCCACTGACCAACGTGCCGGCATCGGGGGAGAATGCCAACGATGATACAGGGCCCTCGTGGCCAGACAGCCTGTCGAGCAACTGGCCGGTCTGCACGGACCAAATGTGAATATCGAAAGAATCGATAGAGCCCGCGCATACGACCTCGCCGCTCGGGTCAACCGCTAGGGACGAAAAGGAAAGCCTCGATGGCGCTGTGAAAGTGCGGAAGTTGCGATACCGGTGGAGATCCCAAGCCCTGATGGAGCCATCAAGACTGGCTGTGAACAAGACGTTTCCCTTCTTCGCGAATTCGCAGGCCGTCACACCGCCCATATGTTCTGTGAATGTGACGACACAGAAACCGGAGTTGACTTCCCAAACTTTGATCTTGCCATCGTCTGCCGCTGTTATTATCCGTTGACCGTCTGGCGAGTAGGCGATTGTGTTCATCGAGTCGAAGTGTCCCTGCTGCTTCAAAATGTACGATTCCGATTGCCATTCCCACACAAGTAGCTGGCCGAGTTTCGACGCGCCAAAGGCTAGCCATTCTCCGGTCTTGTTGATGGCGACGTAATCGATGTCGTTCTGCGAGATGCTGAGGCTGGAGATTTGCGCAAATTCTGGTAGCTCGTGAATGAAGAAGGCACCGTGGGAAAAGCCAGTTACGAGCAGTTTCGACTCGGGATGGAAGCTGGCGCATGTGACATGCGCATTGTTCTGATGGAAAAAGTGGCGCTCCTGAATACCCCATTGTAGATTCTCGTCGTCGTCCGGGTCGGCGTCGACGGGCGCATCGTAGCGTAGCATGTATTTCCAGACAAACAGCGCTCCGTCCTTGCTGACTGTGTAGATGGTCTCTTGATCCTTGGAAAACCATGCGCCGACTACTTCCTGCCTGTGTCCGCCCAGTGTTGTCTGCGCATGCCCTTCTGCTTGATCAACGCTCCAAATCCGCGCTGTCATGTCTTTGGACGCGCTCAAGAAAAATCTCGAGTCGCTAGACCATTCTATGCTCTGGACTGAATTGTAGTGTCCTGTATATATCCGGTGTCGCACGAAAGGCGCAAACTCCAAGTCACCCTCCGCAACGTCTGGCGTGGATGGTGTGTGCCATACTTCAATCTGCCTTCCTATGCCTACTGCGAAATGCCGACCAGAAGGAGAGAAAGCGATCGAGGTGACTTCGCCGCGGAGAGAGAAGTGGTAGAGTACGATGCGACGAGGAACATTGGTGAGGACTGCGCGACCGTCTTCATCGACCGAGAGGAGGAGGTTTCCGCGAGGGTTGAGAGCCAGGCGTGCGATGTTCTTCCGGTGCGCAAACGGAAGCGTGTATGATTTTGAGCTGACTAATGATCAGCGCATATCGAGAGAGGCAGTCGCGACTTGGAGCCTACCTCACGAGGTCGAAAACCGTGACCCGGTTACCCACGGGCGACAGCAGACATGTGCCATCGGGTGTGAAGAGAAGATTGCCTCTGCTGTAGACGGTGCCCAGCAGGTTGGAGAACTGTGGGTGTCAGACGCGAATATTTGCACGGCAGCACTCAACTCACCTGAAAGTCAGTCTTCATCTTCAAAGTATCGTGGCTGCGGTCTCGTCATGTCGTGGCGGGCATGATGGTCGCATCTTGAACTTTTTCGAAGCTCGGATCATCGCTGGACGCGCTAGTGGAGTAGTGTGCATTAGTCGCGATTTCCCCGTTCAGGGTCAGTGCTTGCCGAATGGGCGACTGGCAGAAAGGGGACCCAAATTGTCTACCAACACCACGCCTCCTCACCAGACCCCATATCGCACCTCGTTCAGCAACCTCACTGCTGACTTGCTTTTCACCCGCCACCTCCACGTATGCTCTAACGCTGCACTCCCCCGATATCAGGCTCCATATAGCTAACACCACGCAGACCCCATACACACCAGCGGTCAACCACACATCAGCACAATGGCCGAGTCCGCGTCCCCCATTGGCATTGCCAATGTACGTATACCATCTGCTCAACCTCTGTCTTCAATTCGTATACTAACATGCATTGCAGCTGCCCAACCAGAGGTACTATCAACACAACGGACACGCAGCTTCGGCCCTAACGTAGCACAGGCACAAGATTGTTGCAAAGCGCGGTGCTGCCTTCACCATAATGGTACGCATACCATCCCCGTGATCAATCGACTTCAATCTAACTAGCCCAGGTTGCTGGCGAGTCTGGTCTCGGAAAGACCACCTTCATTAACACCCTCTTCTCCACCACCATCAAGAACTACGCCGACCACAAGCGACGACACCACAAGCAGATGGACAAGACCGTCGAGATTGAGATCACCAAGGCCGAGCTCGAGGAGAAGTTCTTCAAGGGTATGCAGCGCCATCCTGCTATTCGTTCTTTATGCTAACACACCCAGTCCGTCTTACCGTTATCGACACCCCCGGTTTCGGTGACTACGTCAACAACCGCGACTCGTGGCAACCCATCATCGAGTTCCTCGACGACCAGCATGAGTCGTACATGCTCCAGGAGCAACAACCGCGCCGCTCTGATAAGATCGATCTCCGTGTTCACGCCTGCCTGTACTTCATCCGCCCCACCGGCCACACCCTGAAGCCCCTGGACATTGAGGTCATGAAGAAGCTGTGCACACGCGTCAACTTGATCCCGGTTGTAGCCAAGGCCGACACACTGAGCCCAACAGACCTGGCCAAGTTCAAGGCGAGGGTAAGTTTATCCATCTACATGTCACCAGCAAATACTGACCGCTTTTAGGTGCGCCAAGTGATCGATGCTCAGGGCATCAAGATCTACACTCCCCCTCTCGAGGATGACGACGCCGCCGCCATGCAACACGCACGCGGTCTCATCGACGCCATGCCCTTCTCCGTCATTGGTTCCGAGAAGGACGTTCAGACCAACGACGGCCGCACCGTCAAGGGTCGCCAATACGCCTGGGGTGTTGCCGAAGTCGAGAACGAGGAGCACTGCGACTTCAAGAAGCTCCGCGCTATTCTCATCCGAACCCACATGCTCGACCTCATCCACACGACGGAGGAGAACCACTACGAGGCCTACCGCGCTGGCCAGATGGAGACAAGGAAGTTCGGCGAGGCGCGCCCAAGGAAGCTGGACAACCCCAAGTTCAAGGAGGAGGAAGAGGCGCTCCGCAAGCGTTTCACCGAGCAGGTCAAGGTTGAAGAGCAGCGCTTCAGGCAGTGGGAGCAGAAGCTTATTGCTGAGCGTGACCGCCTCAACAAGGATCTTGAGGCCAGCCACGCGGAGATCAAGCGTCTTGAGACGGAAGTGGACAGCCTCCAGGGAAGCATCAACCGCTCTCACGGCCGTCGCTAGACGCACCTTTTGGCGTTGGTGGTGTTGCACGTACACAGATGGTGCAGCGATTCAGCATGGTCGCACTAATTCTCCACATTCTTCCTTCAAGATTCCCCTTTCTGTTTCCGTAACTTCGGTTCTCATATGTCTGTAATGTCGCGCCGCCGTGGGGATCACTGTAGGCGACGCGTATCTAGGCTTGAGCTAAAACAGCATGTCATAGCTTATAGTTGTATAACTTGGTATTAATCTATTATGAAGACCGCTGGTCGCTAAGTATTGTTCTTGGGTATAGTGATGCTGAGATGGTAGGCTTAAACCTGTAATCCGCCAAATACCCTGTCCAGCTCCTCGCCTTCTTGTGCCTTGCGCTCCGCCTGGGGATCTAGATCCATAAGGTTCTGCTCCTGCACCGTTTCTTCCTTGGCCGACGCATTATTGTCACCAGGTCCCTCCGGCTTAATAATATGCACACCACTGTCCAACCACCCAGGCGCAACCCTCCTCTTCTCCGCGAGATCCTCCTTCCGCCGCCTCTCCTCCCACTCCGCCAACGTCCTCCTCGCGTCCGCTTCTAGCTTAGCCAGGTGCTCTTGTAGCGCGACACACGACGTGAGTATCTGGTCTGGATGCGCTGATGTGCCCGTTGATGAGGTGACGTATGCTGGCTTCGACGCAGAGGCGTTGGGGTTGGACGGGTCTTGTTGTTGCTGCTGCTGGGAGAGGATCGAGGGAGGCAGCGTCGATGGAAGGGTTACGTAGGAGTATGGCAGGGGGACGGATGTGGGGAGGGAGAGGAAGGGCGAGAGTGTTAGGGGGACTTGGGCGAGGAGGGGGTGGGGGTCTGGCGTCCGTGTTAGTGAGGGTCGCGCTTGTTGTGTTGTGCTGGGTGGAAGGATGCGATGCGACGGGTAGCCACACTGCAGAGCGCGCATGTCTGAATGCGACGATGCCGAGGTCCTTGTTCCACTCTCTTTATGCTCTCAAGCTATACCCTGGAGTTGGAGCTCACAAATGGTCGCATGGTCTGGCTATGCGCGCGCATTGCGCTGGGTGTGCATTGTAGCGGGGAAGAGGAGCACTCACGTTCGTCGTGCATATTCGATATGGCTATACGCGTACGTCAGGGTCCGTCGATTTTGCCAAATTAGCAGTATCAGGGCGTGTATTCAGTCTGTCGAGTACGGTGGGGCGTAACTTTGCGGGAATGTTGTTGCAGGGCTTGGGATTGTGGAGGCACGAGGTGTTGGTGGGGAAGCTCCAGGCTGAGTGGAGCTGCTGACGCAGGTACGAAGTTCCAGGGTTCCACGGTTGGCAGCTGCGATCACGCGTTATGCATGTGAGATGGATACGGGCAGATTGTCTGTGGGGTGCATACACGGAGACGGTCATGGGAAATGGGTTGTTTTGCGTGTTAATGGGGAAGTCGTTTCTTGTGGCATTTTGCATGGGTGTTGAGTGTTACGAAAGTGGATCTATATTTCGACCACCCTTTTACTAGATGGTATTCTTGGTCATGGTATGATACTTCATTACGAGAGGAGGGAGTGTATTTGTGTGTTTATGCGAAAACACCACCCATATCCGCCTACTTTATCTTCGCAGAGCAAGTAAATGGTCTCGGACCGGGAATTGTGTAGCTGGTCGGGATCGGCCAGTACAGTTGAAACTTAATCCCCGGGTCAGTCGCTTTGTATGCACCTGGAAAGCTGACGGTCGCCGGACTGGCACTGCCACCTCCTGTCACGTTGATTTGAGCACACTCCATATAGAGTTGAGCACCGGGGTAGTTTGAGGCGGCATGGAGAGCAATGAGCTCTGCGCGGAGGAGGTATCTGGCAATAACCGTGTCAGTCAACGATATAGATTTACCAAGAGGTTGGAGATGACTGACTGTCCACTGGGAATGCACGACGGCAGTACAAAGTCTACCAGGCCCTTGTTGTTGTAGAGTCTAGTAACGGCCCACTCGCCATTAGCATCCATACCATCCTCGTAGATCTTGAACCACTTGAGTCCCGTCACTTTGGTAGACAAAGCATCATCGACTCTGGCAAGGTAGACCATGATGGGACCCAAATGACCAGGGTCAATTGGATCTGACTTGTCCGTCTCGGGCTTGGAATCGAGCGTGTGGTGCCACTCGGCAGTGAGCTTGTCCCCAGCTTTGACCTGACAAGGTGTAAGCCGAAGCCATGTGGCGTAATCGCTTATTGCGCAACCAGCGTACATTGATGATGTCTTTGGGGAGAGGCGTTCTGTAGGGGTTTATGCTGAATGCGGGTCAATCTAGCGCTTGGCTCCACGCTTTGTAATGCTTTACCCGCCATTACAGATCACATCGTTTGATGTTACGTCCGTTATTGGTCTGAAAACGTAAGTGAATTGGAGTTCAAAAGGCGATTGCGGGGTGCATTACCCGTCGTAGGTCTGTGTCGTGCTGTTAGCAGGGGAGCAACATGGAAATCGTGAACATGCTCACTGGCACTCGAATCCCCTTAGTGTGTCCTTGCGCCACGCCATTGACATGTAGCTGGGTGAAAATTGTGTGTGCCGAAGCGCTGGCCAGTAAAGCACAAGTAACCGCACAAGCCTTCATCATGTAGGCTATCACGTTGGATCATGAATGTCCTCATCAACGCGTCGATGAATCTTCCTATATGCCATTGTCGTGCTTCGTTTTCAAGCTGTCCGAATGGAACACGGCACTATTGTTCAAATCTGGTCGACCTTCCAGTTCGGCACGCATGCGACTCGCGGTAGACTCGCGTGACCAGAGACACTTTATTCCCAATCTATTTCGCCCGCCGTAAAGCACTTTTGAAAATATACTGTGTATGCACGAGACACGTGCTTTGTGGATTTCTCAGCGCAGAGAACCCTCGGCATATACCAAATAGGCAACGAGCACCAATGCGGTCGTGACTGCGCGTTCTTTGAACCGGCGGTTGGGTGGAAAAACCGCAGTATTAATTACAGGGAGGAGGATATGACCGAGACATGCCCCGACACCGTGGCGCGGCTCTTGGAATGTGGGAAGCGAGAGGAGGAATGCGTAATATAATAGATTGTGTGTTACTGGTCTGGTCAAGTGTTTCAATCAATGAAACGTGCGCGTCTTGTCGGTCAGCGAGAAGGCTTGGAAGCCGTCCTTCATTTTGGGGCAGCCTTGCGGAATATGCGGGAAGAAGCCGGTACCGAGAAGGCTGTGGCGGTTGCACGAGGTCAAGGGCACTGACTTGATAATCCTTCCGACGAAGCTGGTGGTGCAGATGGTGCACTTGAAGAGGCTGATGCGAGGCGAAAGCGCGAAAGTGACGGTCCATCCCACCAGCCACTAAACGATTGTGGGGAAGCCTGGGCCCGAACGGGCAAGGGGCACATGGCTAACGGCGATGCTAAGTCGCAGTCCCGGCTTCTGTCAATCTACATCAATCAATCCACCCATGCCGCCGTAGTTTCGACATATTAACGACTAACCTTGAATCTCGGCCAGATCACCTACGTTTTGAAACAGCCAATGACGATGTCGCCCACGGTAATCACGCCCCTCGCTTGGCCCATCCTAGCCAGCGCGCGTCTTCTGTACCTGGTTCAATGCGCACTTCTGCCGCCTCCAGAAGGAAGTTCCCCAGGTAGTGGCTTGGCCACGGGTGTCAACCCCATACACGGCGGCGTAGTCTAGCATAATGTTGATATGTATATAACACGTCCGCACCCTGGCATAGCGATAGAGGCCACAGCTACAACTTGCGCTTGTCAATTCATCTCATCTTCGACGTGCTGGTAACAAGTCTCCAAGATGAAGACCTCTTCTTTCGTTCGAGCGGCTTCGCTGCTATCCTCTCTTTTCGCCCCTCTCGCTCTTGCGCAGGAAACGTTCACCCACGAAGGCACCGGTATTGAGTTCTGGCGCCAGACAGTCAGTGACGCCCAGACTGCAGGTGGTTTCGAGTGGGGTTGGGTACTGCCTGGAGAACCTACTGGAGCCAACGACGAGTACATTGGTTACATTGTAAGTTATAGCAAGTCTGTGTCGATGCTGCAGCCGCTAATGTTCCCCAGAAAGGTTCGCTCGAAGCAAACAGGCAGGGATGGTCCGGTGTCAGCCATGCTGGTGGCATGCCAAACTCCCTTCTCCTCGTCGCATGGCCGGAAGAAGATGCCGTCAAGACCAAGTTTGTCTGGGCAGGTGGCTATGTCGCTCCTGAGGACTACACTGGCAACGCGACTTTGACTCAAATCTTCCACTCCGTCACCGACACACATTTCGAGATCGTCTACCGATGCGAGCACTGCTGGGTCTGGAACCAGGGCGGTGCTGAGGGCTCTCAGCTTCCCACTACTGAGGTCAACGTTATCGGTTGGGCCCAGCATGACAAGATCTATGACGGTACTTGGGTTTTCCACAACAAGGGACAGTCTCAATTCGGCGCCCCTACCGCGGATGCGAGGAACGCAAAGTACACCGACTACCTCAAGTTGGTAGGTGGCCAGCCTTCTGGTGCACCTACACCGACCAAATCCGGTCAGCCATCTGCTACGCCCACTCCGACAGCACCTGTCAAGTGCCAGGGATCACCTGCTCCTTCAGGCTCCTTCGACTACATCGTCATTGGCGGTGGTGCTGGAGGTATTCCCGTAGCGGACAAGCTTTCTGAGTCTGGCAAGAGTGTTCTTATGCTCGAGAAGGGCCCGCCATCTCTCGCCCGTTTCGGCGGAAAGATGGGTCCTGATTGGGTTATCAGCAACAACCTGACCCGCTTCGACGTTCCCGGTCTTTGCAACCAGATCTGGGTTGACTCTGCTGGTGTTGCTTGCACCGACATTGACCAAATGGCTGGCTGTGTTCTCGGTGGAGGCGCTGCTGTCAACGCTGCGCTTTGGTGGAAGCCTGTTGATATTGACTTTGACTACCAGTTCCCTAACGGCTGGAAGTCAGCTGACGTCAAGGGCGCAATCGACCGTGTCTTCAAGCGCATCCCGGGTACCGACACTCCCTCCGTCGACGGAAAGCGCTACAAGCAGGAAGGCTTCGATGTCCTATCCGGTGCACTTGGTGCAGATGGCTGGAAGAGCGTCGTCGCGAACGACCAACAGAACCAGAAGAACCGCACATACTCTCACTCTCCCTTCATGTACGACAACGGTCAGAGGCAAGGTCCTCTTGGCACTTACATGGTCTCCGCCCTTGAGAGGAAGAACTTCAAGCTGTGGACCAACACCATGGCCCGCCGTATCGTTCGCACCGGTGATACTGCTACTGGCGTTGAGCTTGAAAGCGGTGTTGGCGGCACTGGCTACTGCGGTACTGTCAACCTGAACCCTGGAGGCCGTGTCATCGTTTCCGGTGGAGCTTTCGGATCCTCCAAGGTTCTCTTCCGCAGCGGCATTGGACCAAAAGACCAGCTGAGCATCGTTAAGAACAGTGCCCTCGACGGCTCGACCATGATCAACGAGTCTGACTGGATCAACCTTCCTGTCGGCCAGAACTTGAACGACCACGTCAACACCGACCTTGTTATCAAGCACCCCAACATCTCCTTCTACGACTTCTACAAGGCATGGGATGCTCCCATCGAGAGCGACAAGGATCTATACCTCTCCAAGCGCTCTGGTATCCTTGCTCAGTCTGCGCCCAACATTGGTCCCCTCGCTTGGGAAGTCATCAAGGGAAGTGATGGCATTGACCGATCGCTCCAATGGACTGCTCGTGTTGAAGGCCCCGGTGCCAACGACACCCACCACCTCACTATCAGCCAGTACCTCGGCCACGGCTCTACCTCGCGTGGTGCGCTCTCCATCAACGGTGCTCTCAACGTCTACGTCAGCAAGGCGCCCTACCTACAGAACGAAGCCGACACCGGTGTAGTTGTTGCTGGTATCAAGAGTATGATGAAGGCTATCCAGAAGAACCCGATGATAGAGTTCCAGGTACCATCACCCAACATGACGGTTGAGGCATACGTTGCCAGCCTTCCCAAGACACCAGCTGCCCGTCGCGCCAACCACTGGATCGGAACCGCGAAGATTGGAACCGACAGCGGTCTTACTGGCGGAACAGCCGTCGTGGATCTGAACACTCAGGTGTACGGAACGAAGAACATCCACGTCGTCGACGCGTCTCTCTTCCCTGGGTAAGCTCACCCTCAATATCACACATGATCGTCGAACTAACATAGCCCAGTCACATCTTCACCAACCCTACATCTTACATTGTCGTGCTCGCAGAACATGCTGCTGCCAAGATCCTTGCCCTTGGTGCAAGCAGTGGAGGTGGTAAGCCTTCGTCGTCCGCTCCGTCATCCGCCAGTACCGCTAAGCCCTCATCTTCCAAGGCTCCGACTAGTTCGTCAGCTGCCCCTGTGAAGCCATCGTCAACACCAGGAAAGTCATCGGCTGCGCCGACCAAGACATCTGCAGCACCATCAGCTGTACCTACCAAGACGGCAAACGCCTGGGAACAGTAAGTGGACAAAGAACTTTCATGCATTGAACACATACTAACTTCGAATCAGATGCGGCGGTCAAGGCTACACTGGTCCGACAGCTTGTGTCAGTGGATACAAGTGCGCAGTGAACAACACATGGTTCTCTCAGTGCGTCCCTAAATAAGAGGCGCACATCCATCTCCTGCCCCGGTCTCGACATTCGATACATCTGGGGCATCTTCTTGTATATACTTTAGCTTCAGTGAATATCAATCGCTCATTCTGCAAAATCGTGTCTAAAATGCCTCGCTTGACCTCGTGAGCTGATGACTCCCGCAGAATGTCTGGGAGCCGAGGTGGCAGATGCGTGACGAATGCGGAATAGCGCGCGTCTTATCGCGCCCCGCATTCATCGGCCTTTCATCGCAACTGACTGACCATCTCATCCCAACTTTATTTTGCGCTTCCAACAACATTCTTTGCGCCTAGCATTCCTCAATCTTACGTGACTTGGGTGTTGTATACTTCTTGACTGCTTCGCACGTACATGATGCCATCCAACTGCCCAGCCACCTCTGCCAAGCGCGACGATGACGCGTCGAAAAACGTGACGGAACTGCTCCATCAACGGCTTCAAAGTAGCCCTAAAGATGACTGGGGACGATTGTTTGAGTGCTGGGGCTATGATGATTGTGGTGACTGTCATCGAAGTAAAGGCCATTGCGGGTGGTGTGCTATTGTATGTTCACATCCCCTTGATCAACTTGTCACGCATTCACCCCTGGGATACCGCGGACCATGGCTGACTCACTTTAACAGTCCTCGACGTGCCTCCCATTACCTACGGACGCGTTGTCAAAGGCCTTTCCTCTCCTGTCACCCATTCGCTACAACTCGATATGCGCTCTGCCATCCGAGCGCTTTGAGCTGCGTACATCGGGGTTGGGCTGTCAAGTGTCTACAATCACTTTCTTGACATCCATCGTGACTATCTTCTGTACGCTCTTTGGTATCCTGGTACTGTACAGTCTTGCAAAGTGTATCAAGTGGGCTGGCTTTGGTGCAAAGGCAAGTCGAGGCGGCCACGCGCTCTATGAG